ATTTCTACCTAAAACAATATATGCTACAAATTACTCTTATAAATAAAATTCTCTCATACTCTGATAAAGTCACTAGACCACCTCTAATTTACATAATCCCTGAAACTAATTCAAAACCTAATAACCTAAATAAAAGTACTTACCCTGGCATGTTCAAATCGTCTCTGTTAGCACTCATCACAAAAAATATATCACTACTTACAAACAACAAAATTCATACTGATTTTCATTGATTTATAATGTACATGTGGCACAATACAGTCTGTAAACAGTTTTCAAGTGCTTAAAAAACTTGACAGTGCATATTAAAAACTCAAGGCCGAAAAGATCAGTTACCTAAAATATTTCTAGAGCAAATTGTTTCACAATATGTAATATATTAGTAGATTTCACTGTTTAAAGGGACATGTATATTTAACATTAAATGGGCATCCAGTTAACTGGATGTGGACACTCATTAGAAACCCTTGCATCTAGTATACTGGACATTGGTAGCCAACTTGTTAAGTATCCTTTGAACTGATTTGAACCCTGTAAATAATATGACTAATTCCAAAGAATTCTGAAGTTATGTACACAGTAAAAATAAACATTATGAATTACCAAACAACATGACCTATGACAACAATGAGTCAAACAATCCATCAGAAATTGATGTTGTTCTGTTGTCTCCTGTATTACTAAAATTTTTTTCGTTTTTCGTAAGTACTGGCATTTTCCCAGAAGAGTGAAAAAAAGTTATACTTCTCTTATTTTTAAGAATGGTAGTAAAATATGTATAGAAAATTACAGACCCATTTCCAAAATTTCTATTTTTGCAAAGATTTTTGAGTCAATTATTGCTTCAAAAATATTTTTTCCTATAAAAAGTTTAATTATTCCTGAACAACACGGCTTTATGCCGGGTAGGTCTACAACCACAAATCTAGTTATCCTAGAAGAATTAATTTTGGATCTTTTTGCATTGCGCAAAAATTTTGCACTTCGCGATGATGCTTCGCCAAAGCGGCACTCAGTAGTTTACATTATTTATATTGAAGTGTTTGAATCGTTTTTCGTTTGTTGGCAGTTTGTTTATATTCGTTTTATAGAAGTAGTGGATTTTTTTTTGTTAAACTTCAAAAAATCTGTATTCAGTTCAGAAAGTACGGCTCTAGGGTGGGTGGTGTGTTGCCGTGCATGTACAGATTTAGTATGGTGTATTTGTGGATCGTAACATACATGAACGATACTAGTAAGCAAGATAGATAATGTAGAACATACTATTACGATTATAGCTCTTCAAAGATGTAATTACTTAAAAATTAATGGTGATAGACCCTGAATGATGGAGATTAATTTGCATAATAGTACGGCACTCGCTTATCAAACCTGCAAATGAAAATTATACTTTGGTGGCAACAGTATCGGAAGGATTAAAATAAAAGGAACATTTATTGCTTCTATAGTAAAAATAATAGTCAATAAAGCAAATTATAAATTGAATAATATAAAATGTATATTAATTTTTAATTATGTTTTATAATGATGCATTATGTTTAATGTATTATTAAATTAATTACCCGTTAAATTAGCCACACTCTCATGTATGTTTTCAGATTTACTAAAAGTCTATTTAAATTAGCTTCTTCTATAGTAAACTTTAACACATTAAAAATAATTTCTGGTGTTTGGGACCAAACATTTATTTTTCACTGAACTTTCCATTTTAATTCCAAAATTTACATGTTCTGCTTCAAAGAAATATTTAAATAACTGACAACACTGTAGTGAATTTAACATTGGGGCTTGATCTCTTCCATTTGACAGTCGGAGAAGAGAATTGTGTAATAATATAAAATTTTGGTCAACACATCTTGTCATACTATACCTTCGACGTTTTTGAAGATTATTTTGGTTAAATGATACATTTCATATCAATTAATTTTCAAATTCATTTATTGATGGAATTTTGCCAGTAGCCACCCGATACTTTTAACAAACATAAGGTTCTCATAGATATACACATAGGGCACAGTAAGATTTCCCAGGGTCTCTCATCCCTAAACTCAAGACCTGCAAGAACTCTTAGTCTTACATTGCAAATCAAAGACTCTAGGCATTCCTGTCAAAAGTCCCCAGACTAAGATTGCATATGTCAGGTGACAGTGACAAATGGCATATTAAGACTCCTGATTATCTAATAAAACTCCTGATGCTAGATTTCTGAGCACATATAAGTTCTTTGATAAGTTTTTACTCAGATAGTCAATATGTTGACCCCATTGAAGCTTGAGGTTTAGGTATACTCCAAGGAACTTCACACTTATCACATCTGCGTTTTCAGCTGGGGTCTCCCTAAGAGCAAAAACAGCCCTGTTGGTCTTTGCTTCAGTAAGCAGGAACATGTTAACACAGAATCACTCTTTAGTATCTGACAGTACAGACTTGAAACCCCTGAGGGAATCCTCAAGTGTGTCAACTGAGAAGGAGACAGTGATATCATTGGCGAAGAGTGTGTATGTAGTGTTTGATTCAATGCTTGTAAGGTCATTAATATATATTAGAAATAGTTTGGATCCAAGGATGGAGCCCTGAGGAACACCAATATTAACAACTCTTTCCTGACAACACCTCAGACTCCCTCACAGATTCTACTATGTTCTCGAGGTATGATTGGATCAACTTAGTAGTATAGACAAACTCTGTTTTCTTGGCCTGATTAAATTGATGAAATTTCAAACTGATAAGAAAAGCTATTTACGCTACTTAACAGAAACAGTTTAAATGTCCATTTATGTTGTTTAAGGAGTCTTAGTTGTTCATAGTAGTTTATATAGTAGTTCATCCTCTCCTCTCTAATGGCGCTACAGCCCAAATCGAGCCTCCAAATTTTGTGCGCTCTCTGCCACTTCATCCTCCCACCCTTTCCGTGGTCTTCCTTTTGGTCTTGCGCACTGCATTTTACTATCTAGGGCCCTTTTAGGCAATCTTCCAGTCTCCATTCTTACTACATGACCCTGATTTTGGATCTCCAGTGTGTGTTTCTAGAGCGGAACACATGGGCGAGTGAAAAGTAGGCTTTGTTTCCCTTTACTATTCTTCTTTGAATTTCTGGTTCTTCTGTTCCACAGTTCTTCATATGCACATAAATATTGTTCTTGTTCTACAACATTTCCCAATTTATAAAGACGATCTGCTTGTTGATCATTCTTGGGTTTCATTTTTGAACTATCTGTAAAAGAAATTAATTTTCTGATACAATCAAAAGTATGCTAGCTCATTGTTTCTTTTATTTGGGAGACTCTAATATTTTTAGATCAGTAGCAACGTGCATTAGGCAAATAGTTCACTGACATATAGAGTAGTATTCCAATAAATTTACAGATGTTATCTGTAACAATGTTGGCTGGATTAGCAGGGTTATTTTGAACACTGTATAAATTAAATTGGTTGGTAATCTCTTGCAATATATTGTCATCAAAAAAATATTAAAAAAATTAAAATGGGGTAGAAAATTCTTGTACACATGCACACTTTGAGGTAATGAAGAATCACCTTTGGATGCTAAAACATCTTCATTTAACAGTAAATTCCTTTTTTTTTTCACAAAATATTTTTGAATTCGTCTTTAAATAAATGCAACTCATTAGGATTTTCATCTAAGTCCTCCGTTATATAGTCTTTTTCAGTCGCACTAAAGTTTTATCTAATTCATTTTTTATATCTTCGATTTTCTTTATTTGTTCTGCTGTATCTTCCAGTTCCGCCCACTCAGCTCATCTTCAAATACCATCAGAATATTTTTATGTCTATATTTTCTAAATCTACATCATTATTCAAGCCTTCATTATCACTTACATCACAATCATCTTTACTCTCATCCCAATTGTTGACTATTTCTTGCAGTTCTTTATCTAATAGAGGCATCTTCATAGTTAGACATCTAAAATAATATCAAAAATATCTTTTATGTATCATATGATACAAACAAATTATTTTTACTATACCTCTTAAAATAATAGTAGATGCTCAGTAAAACTAATACTAGATGACTTATGGATGTGTAATAACCTGAAAACACATTTTTACACACTAAATTTTCATTAATCATCATCATCATCAATGGTGCTACAGCCCTATGAAAGAACCTCGACCTTCCCAAGTCTATTACGCCAGGCAGTCCTATCCATTGCCAACCGTTGCCAGTTTGCTGCGCTTATCTTTCTACGATCCTCTTCTACACCATCCTTCCATCTGAGTTTTGGCCTACCCCTTTTTCTACTTCGCACGGGTTGTGACATAAGGATTCTTCTAGGAGGGTTGTTCTGCTGCGATCTTGCTAGATGTCCTGCCCATCTTAGTCTTCCTATTCTTATAAGAGATACTACATCTTTACCACCAAATATTTGTTTATATCTGTGGTATACCTCGTAGTTGTATCTCCTCCTCCAAACACCATTTTCACAGATGCCATCAAATATTCCTCTCAGGATCCTTCGTTCAAATATAAGCAGAAGGTCTTCGTCTGCCTTGGAGATGTTTCTATAGAAGAAATGCTAAATTTTCATTAATAACCACCTATATAACTTTGATAAAGCGCCAATTCATTAATTCACGCGTTTTATAAAATATTAGATGACATTGTCAGGTTACAAAATCTCTATTTGGGGGCAATGTAGGGTTAAAACATTCGACTGTTATAAAGTAGCGAAAATCATTGCTATTTAAGAGCAGATATTGAAGCAGTTACATGTATTTGATGTTGTTACTCAAAAGTTAGATAACATTTGTTGTTGATTTTCGTGGTCGCAATCACTTGAATTTGTCTTATTTTGATCCTTTATGAAATATACAGTTATGTATAAAATTTGAATTGAGAAAAGTGGTTTCCACAATTTCCTTAATTAAAAATTTTGTTTTTTATTAAGTCACAAAGGATCTATAAAGTAATTATTGTTAAACTAATCACATGTATTTTTAGTTTTATTTAGTTTTTTATAGATTATATATTATTTTAGGTAAGCCTGGATTACCGAGAGTTGTAAGAGGAGGGGGAACAGGTATGACAAGAGTTAGGAAACCTAGACCACCAGGTTTTAGTAGGAGAGGCATGGGAAATAGAAGTGTCAGACAACCAGACAGATCAGATTTTGATTTCTCCCCCTTTACTCCATCACCTATTGATGAGCAAGCTTTACTGGATCCAGAAACAGGAGCACTTTTATATCCAGAGAGAGAAAAGTTACTTCCGTCTATGGAAGAACCTCCGTATTTTCCAGAACATTGGCCTGGGAAGGTTTGTGCCTTTTGTAATTTAGGAGAAAGGAGTCAATTGGGACAAGGGGAAATGCTAAGGTAAAATTTCTTTTTATTAAGTAAGTTGTATAGACAATAACTATTTTGTTATAAGGTTGAACTGCCCGGAAGGTTTTTTACCACACAAAGTCGCAGCAGAACAAATTTTAGAGAAAGCTTTACAAGCTCCTGACAAAGATAGGGGAGATAAGAGTCCTAAGGGACCTGTAACCTGTAGAAGACAGAAGGGTTTTAATAAATGCAGGCATCCATCTATGAATAGTGAATATGTTGATGAACTGACTATTATTGGGTATAATGAAGTTAGTGACGTAACCAGTCTATTTGAACCCAATGGACAGTTCTATGTTCATAGGAACTGTGCTCTGTGGTCTCATGGAGTTACACGAGCAGGTAATAAACTGTATTAACTTTTTTTATTAAGTTTTTTTTAACACATTATGTTCTGTTGTAGAAAATTCAGCTCTGCTAGATGTGGGTCCAGTTGTCTTACAATGTTCTTCCAAAAAGTGTTCATTATGTAATCATTATGGAGCTAGTGTAACATGTAACTTGGATTCTTGTAATAAAGTTTTTCATTTTCCGTGTGCTACCGCCGCTGGTGCCTTTCAGGAAATTATGTCGATTTCTACTTTCTGTTCTAATCATATAGGACAAGTTGCCATGCTTAATGAAGGTATGTAGTACTGAACATTTTACAGAAATTTCAACTTTTTATATTTTAAACGGGATAAGAATAAAAATTCATCATCATTGAGATGATGATCACTGAGATTCTGGTACAAATGAAAAATTTGCCTTTAAAAAGTACTTAAATAACTGTCCAAATGGAGTCGAGTGCCTGGGTAAGTACCCTATGATGATTCCATAGTTACTGCTCAAGTGTGTATCATGCGGAATATATTTCCTGCAATGCACCGAACTACAATAGCATTTGAAGGTGGATCGGAATGTTTGAGAATGCCGGATCAACTGTATTCTTTCAAACGTAGGTCGTCTGTGATCTGTTACAGGTAAAAAACAATCAAAGGAGTAAAGACTTAGGTCTGTCAAATATAAAAAATTCGACTTTGTACGTCATTTCTACAAAAACTTTCTCTAATAACATATTTTTATGAAGAACTTTCGCGGTATATTTTTAAAGAATTAGGAAAATTGTGGAGTTTGTTTAATCATCCTGCATGTAATTTTTTATTATTTTAGCTACTCCTTGTTTTACATGCCGTACTATGGGAGATATATCAAACTTAATGTACTGCTCAACGTGCGGGGCCCATTATCATGGAACCTGTGTTGGTTTAGCGCAGTTACCAGGTGAGTCAATTTATTGGAAGTTAATTGTTTGCTGCATGTTGATATCAATTAAAATTTCAGTTTTTTTTTATATTATCAAGGTTTTCACGGTCGGTATTTTGTTCTACATGGTGTTCTGGATCTTTAGGTCGAGGTCTGGAATTGTTTCCCCCTGCCTTTTTGCCTTAAAGAAGGTTATCTGTAAGATATCACCAATATAATGGCAAAATACAGTGGGAAATATGTTACTTGATAATATTAGTAAGGGAACTTTATTACCTAATTAGAAAATGGAGATGATTTGTAATATCTACTACGAAGGTTAATCACTTCACGTCGCCCATGGCCTATTCATAAATCAAAATAATTCTTTAACTTCAATTCCCATTGTAACCTATTATGTATAGCCTCACGTTAGAAAATTGTAAGTCTAAATAAGTTTAAGCTACAATAAATACCGAATTCAAGATAAGTCACGTCTCAGTATCCCAATGGATCATGTCCAGCAACAAATGTTGATTATATACTTGTGCTCAAAATATGATCACAATGCAAATTCATACAAAATTGGTGAAGATATTAGGAGAATTTGCATTATTATATCATATGCCATTGTGAAGAGAAGACTGTCTTGGTTGTAAACTCAAGAAATTGATTCATTTGCCTTTCTGTTTGACTGTCGCAAATATCAACCTCGAGGGTTAACATTGCCATGACAGCAATCAAACTTCACAGCAGACATGGCACGAAGAGCACAAATGAAGAAGAATCTTTATCCACACCAGGGCAATTTGCAGTATCATATGCCATTGAAAAGATAAAATTGTCTTAGTTGTAAACCCAATATATTGATTCTCTAGCCTTTCTGTTTAACTGTCCCAAATATCAACCTCGAGGGTTAACATTGTCATGATGGCAATCAACCTTCACAGCAGACATGGCATGAAGAGCACAATGGAGAAGAATATTAACAATTTAAATGAGTACCATCAAGAAAATAAAAATGGATGGGAAAACGACGATGTTTAATCGCCTAAGAAATAATAAAAATATTAAATATCCAGTTCAAACGAGATATAATGGTAGAAATAACATAATTTTAAATTGAAGCCAAGAACTTGAATACAAGCAACAATTAGTAAAAAGCAATCATAATTATCTATAATTGATTCTAGTACCGAAATGACCAAAAATTAGTTTAAATAATATATGGGTAAAGAAAACTACAATTAGGTTGCAGAGAAAGTGAATAAAAAAGTAAAAGTGATTGTCATATAATGATAAACTGTATAATACATGAGAAATCCATAAATGGTTGAAAGACAAAAATATAATCCATGAGCCTTATTTACAGAATATACATCAATTGTAGAATTAATCAAAATATTCTTGTAGGTGTTCGAGCTGGATGGCAGTGTCGAAAATGCCGATGCTGCCAAGTTTGTCGGACTGTCGGAGATGAGTCAAAATTAATGTCTTGCGAACAATGTGATAAAGTCTACCACGCAGGATGTCAAAGGCCGATAGTTACTTCTATTCCAAAATATGGATGGAAGTGTAGAGTAAGTATAAGTTAACGTAATGTATTTAGACTTTGGTGAAATCTTTTGTTTTAAAATAGTAATAACTATATCTGCTACAAAAATCAAAAACTATTCGAAAACCGTGGCAAATCACGAAGTCACTATCTGTCTAGTATAGCTTCCTTACTTATTTTTTGGTCAAAGGAATGAAGTAGTTTTGTGTTTTATAACAATGTCAAGTTCTATTGTTCATTATAATCTGCCACCGAGTCCCTATTTTTGTCCGTTGATGGTTAGCTACACATTGTGGCTATTAAATCCTCTATTCTTTGTTTCAAGTTAAGAAAATAACATTACGCTTATGGAGATCAGTGTTGCCAAAACTCTCAGACACTCTCTTTTGCACGGATGTCCAAGATATTCCCTTTGCTTAATTTTTGAATTTTCATTTTCAATTAACATTTAACTGTAAAGTCAGAATAACTACTAAATAAAAGCCTTATTATTATTATGTAGTCAGAGAACGACATAAAATAGCTGACATACGCACATCGTATTATTTTAAGTTGCAATTAGTAATTAGATATACGCATTCCAAGCGGTCAATATTTTCTACTGATTTCTATGATTCATGGCATATCGTATTCTCACCGAAAAACAAATAAACTGTCGTTACTATAATTAAAATAAGATAAAATAAAATTATCTGTTGTATCTTTTGTAAACAAAAATACAAATTATACAACCCTAAATTGTGCTTGTGAGTGTCGTGGCAACGCCGCGTTGCTATCGTCCATAAGAAATACTTGGTCCTATCTCCGCAATGTTATTTTCTAAACGTGGAACGTAGTATAGGACGTATCTGTTTTTTTTTGAGACATGGAACTTTTTTGGAACGAACTTTTTGGAGTGGAAAAGACAAGATCTTTCCCGGAGACTTGTACATATACGGAAATGATCGTATATGATTCTATTTCAAAGTCAATATCGCGGTTTGGTATCAGCTATTGACATGTTTTATCAACTGATGTTACAGCAATATCTCCTTTCATTAGAATGACTCTTTTATGTTGTGCCATGTTCTATACTATATCATGTTTGTGCATTTAAAAAATTTCAGACAAATTACAAATTGTTTATTGAAAGTTTCTCATCATGGTATGTTTTTGGTTTGTTGGCCTTCTGAAGGAGGTGTAGACAGATTCGATGTAAATATCAGGATCGAACTGTTTTGTAATGCCCCTTTGTCCGATTCTTCTCGATCGACGATGGTAATACAATAGTGAGATTACAAATTAAGGGATTAATTTGTGATTGAAAAAGGTGTGACTGTAAGGAGGCCCAGTGACTTTTTATTTTTACTTTTGTATTGTCACTTGTGTGCATTTTCCTTCTTGTTTACAAATATTTATAAAGCCATCTACTAATATTGCAAGTTTAGCAAGGAAAGTTATAACACTAACTTTATTTTTTAGTTTTAAATTATTTCTATATTTTTCAAATAACTTTTTGTTGTAGTGTTGCAGAGTGTGCGGCGATTGTGGATCTCGAACTCCTGGAGCTGGCTTGTCTTCAAGGTGGCACGCCCATTACACAGTTTGCGATTCCTGCTACCAGCAAAGAAATAAAGGCTTCTCATGTCCTCTCTGCCATAAAGCTTACCGAGCGCATGCTCATAGGGAAATGGTTCAATGTTCAAATTGTAAAAAGTAATTAATCCTCAATATTATATGAATTCCTTATCTCGTTAACTTAAAACTTTAATTTTAGGTTTGTCCATGGGACGTGCGACGCTGAAGCAGATGTTGCTACCTACCACCAAAAGAAAGATCTTAACCCTGAATATGAATATGTATGTTTGCATTGCAAAAACAGTACTGCTAGACAAATAACTGCAAAAAGAGCAAGTAAGTTAATAATATGTACTTTAATACTAGATCATACAAACTGATTACTGTCATAGGCTGTATATGGGAACACTCGTAGACATAGCTAATTCGTTAATATTTTTCTTTATATTACATTAATATAATATCAATTGTAGGTATTGAAGATTCATCGGATGTACCAGCTTCTCATGAATCTCTTTACGATGACACCTCAGAATTTGACCTGCCTTCTCCAGACGAATTTGCTCGTAGCATGGGTATGGGCAAAGGAAAACCGTTCGCCAGCAAAATTGCGAAAAAGCGCATTAACTTCCCCATTGTAGGTAGGCCAAAAGGTACAGGCAAAGTACCTCCTGGTAAGATGGGTTTTATGAAACGATCTCGATTATCGGATTTTAATAGGAAAAGGGGCCATAAATCAAAAATGTGCGGTATTTTCGGTGTACCTGGTGTTGGACTTCAAAGACCGACTGCCGATGGAAAAAGCGACGAAGAGCCGGGCGTGGAGAATAGATTGGTTTTATGTTCTGCCAAAGATAAGTATACTTTGACTCAAGATATTTGTGTCATGTGTGGAGCGCTTGGAATGGACCAAGAAGGATGTTTAATCAGTTGTGTGCAGTGCGGACAGTGTTACCATCCATACTGCATCAATGTCAAAATAACAAAAGTTATATTGGAGAAGGGATGGAGGTATGTTCATTAATACTTATTTATAGTTAGTTAATTAGTATAAAGGTTGCTATATAAGTTCTGGAATTAGTGCAGTCAAAATTATAACACACAGTGAAAGCCAAATAAAGTTGCATTGACGTCATCATTCTGAACATTTTCAGCGTTGTCAGATGGTTCATGAAGTATGAAAATTACAGAAAAGAACTGAAGTAAACAAAAAAAGGTGAAGGTAGCAAATTTCACACTATATTAAATGGAATTTGAAAATGAGTGTTTTTTTTCATTTGTTTTTTGTTAATTACATTCATGAATAGATTTCACAAAGTAAGGAATTTCACAATAAAAGTGGTAAGGTTATTACTGAGTTACCAAACAATTAATTTAATCAAAATAAAACCACAAGCAATAAAATAAAATATTAAAACATTAAAAAAAAAAACAATATCAACGAACTAAACTTTTTCTGAATCTGATTCCACATTAGTGTCACTCTCTCCACTCTTAACATTTATTACTATTGGATTAATTTCTTGACGATCAAATATTCTTTCTCTCTCATATCATTTAAATATTTCTTTTTCAGTATGATTGATGAGAGTTTTTCCACATATCAGGAGTAATCATGTAAAGTGCCTTTGGCCCAATTTTTAGGCAGTTGTTAGCGCTGTTACCATCTCTACCAATGTGCCTATTGTAATAATTTTTTGCTATGCCCCAAATTAATTCAATACGGTTAAAGATACAATGGTAAGGAGGAAGATGTAAAACTTTGTGTCCATACCATTCTGCCATATCGTCCACTATATACTTGTTTTGTGGTTTATTTCTAAAAAAAATATTTAAAATAAATGACATATATATATATACATATACATATATATATATATATATATATATATATATATATATATATATATATATATATATATATATATATATATATATATATATATATATATATAGATTATATCTGTATATTTAGTGAGAAACGATGCGCAACAGTTCTGTTTTGAACATCATATGCGAATAGGGATTGTTTTTTTTTTCTGTCAACCACTCCTCAATAGCACTTTTTGACCATCCTGTATTCGGAGTTTTATGCAATAACATACTGTAATGAGGTGCATTATCAAGTACAATTAGAGAATTCTCCAAGTTTTGCAGCAACTGATACTGAGATTATTTCAAGAAATTTGCCTGGTTCATTTCCCTATGATAATCACTAAGTTGAGTTTTTGAACAAAATATTGCTTCAGCACCCTATATAAATCCGGTTTCATTTCCAGCATGGAGTATAATATATCTGCAATGACATTATTTAAATGTTCATATGACAACTTATGTTAATACAACAAACTTTTTGCCATCCGTTTTAGTGGTTTTAACACTCTTTATATTTTCATTTTGCCAAGAATGACCAATGATCCCATTTTGAAATATCCTAATTTCATTGAGAAACACGAATTGGTATATACATTCATCCTTCGCTTCCTATATGTTCTCAAGCATTGTACTCTTTTACAAACAACGTTAATTAATTCCACAAGTCCTGGTCGTGCATTATCCTTCATCCACTCAAACTCAAGTTCTTTGAGCAATATTTTTAAAGCAGTGGTACTACCATTAAATAATTCAATATAAGGTTGAATGTTCTAATAATTAAACTCTGAGGGTATACAAGGCAACTATCGAACATGGTGATTAATTTAATGAATAATTACAAGTACTTTCGATCAATAGATCATCTTCGGGGGCATTTCGTCAGTTGTGGCCTATCCGACATAGTAGAATGTCATACATGTAAAATTTGGACATAACAATATAAAATACAATACACTAAGACAAACAAACACTTTAAAATTTTTAAGGAGAAGTTACATGATCTATAGAAGCCGGATACAGAATGCCGGAGACAGAGATTCTGTCTCCGGCTTCTATACAACATGTAGCTTCTCCTTAAAAATTTTAAAGTGTTTGTTTGTCTTAGTGTATTGTATTTTGTATTGTTATGTCCAAATTTTACATTTATGACATTCTACTATGTCGGATAGGCCACAACTGACGAAATGCCCCTGAAGATGATCTATCGATCGAAAGTACTTGGGCAAGATTAAATTAATCACCGTGTTCGATAGTTGCCTTGTATACCCTCAAACATTAAATAATTCTTTATCTTTCAGTTAGGACCACAATGATTGAACCGTTACGTGCTGTTCTAAAAGCATACAGAAATAAAATTATATTAAATGTATATTTGTTATAATCATACTTACTTCTCTGGTACATGTTGTAAATGGTATCACGAATAGAGCTTGTATTTAAAGTTGTATTTGTTACTCGTTTATTAGTGCAACGCTTTTTCTTTGGTGACTCAAACTGTTCACCTTTTTTCTGCATTTGACATATGCTGCTTACTGTTCATTCTGACACTCATTTTTAAAGCAGCAGTTACACGCTAAAATAATACAAATTTTTGTAAAGTAATGATATTTTATTTGCATATTACCTCTTGTACAGCGTTTAAGGGTAACAAAGGGCCAATATTATTCCTTTCTTCTTTAAAATAGTTAACTAATGAAGCCACGAGTTCTTTGCATCGACTAGTTAGTTTTTTGGGCATTTTGACAATGAGAAATAAATGTTTTTTCACAAGATAACCTCAAAAATCGATGATACCATGTGTACAAAAGTCACAAAACACTGATTGAAAACTCAATAAATAACGCCGCAACATGACAATATTTTTGGTAGTGACTAATACTCCGTCATTTATTGGTGGTTTCTTCATGAACATTTCAACACAATTTTTACAATGAGGGACATCTAAATCCAAAAAAGCTATATTGTATATACATTATTTTGTTACAAAAGTTTTTTTTTACTGATCAGGTTATTTTTAGAAGTGATTGTTTAGCAAACTAAAGTAATATACACTTTTCTATAGAAATGTAGCCATACATACAATAAAATTACGACCTTGGTGACGTTCACGCAACTTTATTTGGCTTTTACTGTATATAAGAAAACATATGACGATTTGAATTCAGCATTAAAATTCGTGTGGGAGAAAATTAAAAAATCGAAAGTTTTTTTCCAGTAAAATATTATAGCTAGATATTGTATGAACTATCTTAGGGAATTCGAATTGTGTTTTCAGCATGTTTTTGGCTGTTATTAAAAATTAGAAAAATTAGAGTAATTTTGATGACAGATTGATTGTGTATTTATGTATTTTGATTGCAGATGTTTGGACTGTACCATTTGCGAAGGTTGTGGTCAGCGAAACGACGAAGCTCGCCTGATACTCTGCGATGACTGTGACGTATCGTTTCATATCTACTGCATGGATCCACCACTCGACTACGTTCCTCACGGCAATTGGAAATGCAAATGGTGTGCGATGTGTCTCAATTGTGGGGCTACCGATCCTGGTTTTAATTGCAATTGGATGAACAGCTCTACCCAGTGCGGCCCATGCGCATCACATCTCAATTGTCCTAGTTGTAACGAGCCGTATGGTGATGGAGAATTGATTATTCAGTGCGTTCAATGTGAGAGGTAAATATTAACAATACTTCTTACTATAGATAGAAAATTAATTTTAATTTGCTATAATAGATGGCTCCATGGTTCCTGTGATTGTATAAAAAATGAAGACGATGCTGAAAAATGCGCAGAAGACGGTTACAACTGCATCCTTTGTCGACCAAGAGATGTACCACCGCCCCACCTTGTGCCGCCACCGCCCGCTCCAAAACCACCAACCCCTACGAAGAGTCCTGAAGTCGGGAAAAGTTCGAGTTTTTATTTGGACGGCGTTTACCTAAGTGAGATGGGGAACAGCTTTATTAAATCATTAGCTTTGGAACATCATGGCTCGCGAAAAAAACGGAAAAAGCTTCCTACCGTGCAGGATAAAGAAGCCGGTATTATGGCTACAATTGAATCTGTTATAGCAGGCGGAAATGCTGGCGGTAAGTGCATTGTTTTTTGATAACTGTGATTTTGATTGTTTTGCCTTTTTTCTTAAACCAAAAATCCTTAAAACAGATTTTTTTAAATGAATCTTGATAAAATATTTTTGTTTATAGGAGCGACTGCTTTAGAAGACAGCGCTAAACTAGAATTGGTCGACGTCAAAGACGAGCCTCAAGAGCTGTACAAAGAAGGCATGATTTGGACAAAGGAGGATGGTCCAGCACCTGAAGGTTTCACGGTGTTTACCATGGAGAGCGGAATCAGCGTCTTAAGGCGCAAGAGACAACGGAATCTACAGAAACTAGGCATAGGTGGTTTTCTAGTCAGAATGAGAGGCATCCGAACCGGTCAGGATAACGATGAAATCGATTCTTCGGTTATCCAATCTGGCAGTGCTACACCTACAGAGCTCCTACCTCCTATGCCTGTTGATGGAGATAAACCAAAAAGAAAACCGATTAGAAGAAAACCAAAAAGCAAGCTAGCCGAAACTTTTCCGGCATACTTACAAGAAGCCTTTTTCGGTAAAGATCTTTTAGAAACTGTTGATTGTAAGAAAGAAGTCGACAGTTGTAGCAGCGACGACGAAAAATCTGTGAAGTATAAATCCATCAATTTGTCTCAGGTGAGTGATTAGGTTATTCTGTTTTTATTTTTTTAATTATTAAAATTTTTATCGAATTCATACAAAATTATTAAGAACACAAAAGTAAATATTTCACTGATTTATTTTTATTTGCCCTTACCTTCTTCTTTAAGTGCCGTCTTCCAATCGAGGTTGGATATCATCATCACTATCTTTACTCTATCTACTGCTGCTCTGAAGAGTTCTATAGAACTACATTTAAACCAGTCCCTTAAACTCTTCAACCATGACACGCTCCTTCTTCCTATACTCCTTCCTCCTCTTATCTTTCCCTGTATTATCAGTCTTAGCAGTTCATATCGCTGTCCCCTCATTACTTGTCCCAGATATTGTAACTTTCTTATTTTTATTGGGTTCATTACTTCGCATTCTTTGTCCATTTCTCGCAATACTCACAATGTCCATTTCTCGAAAACACATAGCATCTCAGTGCTCTTACTTTCAGTTCGACTGTGAGGTCTGTGTTGCAGATAATTGTTTTCATTTTTACAAACGCATTTCTTGCTATTTCTATCCTGGCTCTTATTTCGGCTATTTGATCATTATTGTCTGAAATCCAGGTTCCTAGGTATTTGTATTTATCAACCCTTTCTATCAGTACATTTCCCAAATGTATGTTTGTTGGTATATTTGTTTTCTTTGTTATTATCATGTATTTGGTCGTTTTTATATTTATTTTTAGTCCATATTTTTCACAGAAACTGTTTGTTTTGTTTAGCAGTAATTGGAGTTGTTCAGCAGAGCTTGCCATAATCACGATTTCATCTGCATATCTTATGTTGGTAATAGATCTTTTGTTAATTATTATTCCTTCACTTTAAGATAGTAATGCTTCTTCAAAAATGGCTTCACTATATACATTAAATAGTAATGGGGACATAATACATCCCTGTCTAACTCCTCTCCTGATTTCAATTTCTGGACTTGGTTCGTTATCTATTATGATTTGTGCTCTTTGATTCCAGTAGAGGTTTGTTATTATTCGTAAGTCTTTTACCATTATTATGTAAATAATATACACTGTGTTCAATATTTTCCAAGATTGTCACTTTGATTTTATGACATTGGAAAAAATTCTTTAGCTAACTAATAGCAGCGATTCCGTGGATATGGAGAAACTACTGCATTTTTACTTTACTTTATTGCGATAAATTTTAAATTTGAATGTTTTCCAAAAACTAAATGTTGAACTTATATTAATAATTTTTTAAAAAGCGAATTAATGAGTTTTATTAACTTTGAGATAGTAAACAAATAAACGACATCGGAATAGGAAATAGTATTATGGATTCTGTGTATTTTAGGATGAATTAATGGCTGTAGCTGCAGTCTCGGGCAAAAGTGAAAAGCAAGCAATAGCTAGTATTAAAGACTCACTGAAGGATATTAAATCATCGCCAATGATAAAGGAAGAAGACGACGATAATACAGAAGACTTAAAAGATGTACTTGCCTTACCTGGAGATTTACTTGATGCAGAAATAGTTAACAGTATTATGGAAGATGATGACGAGCTTACTAAAAATACAGAATCACTGGAAGGTTTAGGTATTTGTAAACAAATTTTTAATATACATGTCGTTCTTGAGATTTAATATTTTTTAGATACCAACCTGCAAGATGATAACGAGTTGACTGATACATTGGGCAGCTCCGGCAATTCGAAAGAAACCAAAGATGAGTTGAGTGATATTTTAGGACCACATTTTAATCTGGAATCGATTTCTAATATCAACAGCAAGGATGTAGAAGACATATTTAAGGGTGTATTGACCGATGAATCACAGGAATCACAAGAGAGCAGCAATTTCGCCATACAAGGAAGTAATCTTTTTTCCAACAATACTCCTCAATCAAGTTTAGCTCAGCATTCCATGATGACTCCTGCTGTTCGTCCTAAAACGTTACCCAATGTGAGCCAAGTCAATTTAAATTCACCAGTAGGATTTCCCCCACCATCACCTTACCACTCAGAATATAGCAAGTAAGTTATAAATATTATCAAAAACATTTTTATATACCTACTAATAATTTTAATTTTTGTAGTAGCCCTCAGTTCAGTCCTGCTTTTACCGAGTCTCCTAACGCCTGGGTGGGAGTTCCCGAAACTCCTGAAATAGACAGTACCAACGTCGGAGTTCCTTCAACGTACAATCAGCGTTCCTCGGAAAAGATGAAAGCCGACGAAAGTTTGGGCAACGGTGCTACCATTTCTGCCGTTCTCTATGCTAATATGAATCATCCAGAATGGAAGAAAGATTTTCCGGTTTGGTCTGATAGGTATGTTGACATTTAAACTTACATTTTCAGAATTTATATACAATAGACTATACAATAGTAAGAAGGGAGTGAAATCAGTAATATTTTATTTAAGATTAAATATTTATTTCTCAGAACAGATCCATAAAAAGTGGGTAAGAGAATGTATTGATATTTAGTTAGCCTAGACCAGTTGTTATATTTTCGAATTCAATCGATTTTTTTCGTATATGAGTTAACTCGAATGAAAAATTTTGTATGTATAAGAATCTGAATGTGTATTTTTGAACTTCCTTCGAAAAGTTATACCTAGACTAGAAGAATTTGCACCGGCATCACTGTAAATTCGAGTAACCAAAACTCTTTTACTTAATCTACATATTTTATGGTGATTTTGTCATCTAAAACAATTTGTTTCTTGTAAATTAGCTGAAAGGGATATGTTTACGTAAAGCCCAAATTCAATCGCAAGGATAGACTGTATACACCAATGGGTTGTAAAGCAATCTGTAGTTCTGCAAAGAGACAGAAATTTACTGTACAAATGGTCATGTCAGCAATGGCATTTTGGATTTTAAAAATTGATGTTCCAAATATTACAAAAAAACGTGCCTTTTTGTTGAAACTTCCGCTACATGTGTGTAAGGTTCACAAAGGAGTCATTCGTAAATTCCAGTTTTATGGAGTTTCACTACAATTATCAAAAAAAAGGACTTTGTTCTAAAAATTTAGAACCTTGTTGAATAAATGCCTTGTTATTATGTAAAGTTGACTTCATTGATTTTTCAAAGCGTCGCTTATTATATCAGACTGACTGCGGCACCTTCCCAATCAATGGGAACAAACAAGATTACCAATTTAATGAACATGAAAAGATCTTTTTATTTAATAGAATCATTAATATCTTGACCGTTCGAGTGTAAGATCGGTAAATTATCATACGCATTGCACTACCGAGGCGATATTTATGTATTTTTAAATTATTTTAATATATTAACATTGTTTGGCAGATACAAGCAAATAATCAAGAAATGGAGGACACTAAGTCAAGAACAGAAAGCTCCATATCTTCAACATGCGAGAGATAATAGAAGCCAATTGAGAATGAAGAAGGCCCAGCAGGTAAAGTTAACTGTACAATTTTTAAAAGTGCCAATATTTAGTTACGAATTCTTGTTTTTTGTTTAGATTGTGAAAGATTCCGCGAAATTACATTAAAGTATAAATACTATTCAGCTATCCGTAATCCTGTAGTATTTGTATCTGTTTTTATGATTCTATTCGTTCCATATACTGTATCATTAATTTTAACCTTTCTTGTGATCGATTATTTATTAAAAGAAACTTACATTAGCCATTGATTAAAAGATGTTTTAAGATGCAATATGCAAACTCAGACGGCACTCGAATATCTACGGTTTATAGACCGTGGTCTGCAATTATTTCTTCCCGGCGTTTTGTCTACGAGTGTAACGCGATCGTTCAAACGCGATGCGGCAAACATCAGGAAGGAATATTATCAAATCACGGCCTGTAAACATCAAAGACGAATATAATTAATTTACTGGTGTCAGTTTTCTGAGCAGTTATGATATTTTTGTCCAAGTTATCAGTCAATCACTAATCCATCTTCAATATATTCACATTCCCTCGCCACACACCGTTCCATTCGTTTTTTTCATTGGTCAAAGCAATGCTGGAAGTCTTCTTTTGTTAGAACTTTTAGAAGCTCCGCCGTTTTTCGCTTCACCTCTTCCATCGACTCGAACCGGATTCCTTTTAAGGCATACTCGGAAACAGGAAAAAGTCACAGGGTGCCAAATCACGCGAGTACGGCGAGTTTCAAATAGTAAGTTTGGTTTACAGTTTGACCCTCTGGAACCCATTCAGTCATCACGATGCCATTAATGATGCAAAAAACTATTAGCAGGGCTTTAAATTTTCATTTCGACATCCTTGCTTTTTTCATTCTTTGCGATGCAGGAGTTTTCCAGCGCTAGATTGTCGCTTAATTTCAACATCGTATTTGAATATCCAGGTTTCATCATTAACATCAAGTGATGATGTTTTCCATTAATTCAGGCTCTTTATGTAACCTCTCAAGAAAATCTGAGCAGATCTGTTGACGGACGAGCTTTTGCTCAGGGGTCAAATTTTTTGGGAGCAACTTCGCGCAGACTTTCTTCATGTTCAATTCGGTATGTAAAATTTTTCTGACAGTTTCTTTATCGGCGTTAACAGTCTCAGTAATCATCCGAATGCTCATACGACGATCTCCGCGCATAATTTCATTTGTTTTGGTCATTGTTTGCGGAGTTGAAACAGAGACAGGTCGACCTGGACGTTGGTCGTTTTCGGCCTCGGTTGCTCTCTCGGCCTTCAGAAAACCGTTTATACCATTCGAAAACATGCGCACGAGATAGAGAATTCTCACCATAGGCCTCTTTCAACGAATTGTAGCACTCAGTCGGATTTTTTTTTTAATTTAACGAGAAATTTCACATTAATCCGTTGCTCATGTTTTTCGTCACACATTTTTAACGGCACGAAAAAAAAAACACGTTCTTTTCTAACCTCTACAGAAAAACTACTACTACAGCGACAAAAACGTGTTTTCGTACTGGAAGGGTAGACACTTCCCATTGGTAGCTATCCAATGCTGCATTCGTTTTCCACTCTTCCCTTCTAGGACGCCTTCTGCGCGCGCAGTCTCGTTATTTAATAGTCAGACCTCGTATGTCGATAAAGTCATATTTGTCAATTTTTTTAATTGACAGGTGTCAATAAAAAACCATTCGAAAATTACAAAATGTTTAGGGGTAGTCCACACTTTTTTTTATATTGTGGCAATCCATAAAAATATATAAGCTTATTTGAGGGTTTTTCGTAAAAGTTCTTCAAATACTATCTATTAGGAGTTCATACATTTTTTTAACACAGTCGTCATTGAATATAGAACATCACCATTTTTAAAGGGCGCCTCAGAATCGCACAAAAATATAGAAAAATACTGGGTGTTCAGAGCATTTAAACGGGTTATTCCGTATATGTGGAAAAGTTAGTTCAGGTACCCAAAAATTTATTAATTCATTTTTTGTGGATCAGAAAAAAAAATGAATAGCTTACTTTAAACGCATTATACGTATCTTTTATGAACTTTGGAGTAAAATAATTGCAATATTGCTTTTTAAAACATCTGAAAAACGCGTTTATACGGTAGTTCGGAGGTAGTCACTTAGTTAAAAGTACAGCAGTGTCTCACTTAAAGTTTAGATGAGTGACTATCCGACTATTACTTAGCAAATCGTCATCTGTGCGAAATTAATATTGAACAAAAGGAAAATACCGTCAGTATTGCATCTAGTGTTAACATTCCTTTATGATTAATACTTTGAAGCATGCTCATTTTGAGCTTTACGGGCTATCGGGTTGTCACTAACAAAATTGTTATTTTTGTGTTTTTGTATCCCTTTAATTAGATTTGAAAAACGTGTTGAAGTGTTCCCCTTGATTCTTTTGAAGATTTTTTACAACTTACATTATATATAATCCTAACACATTGTTTGCGCAAGTTAGCCCTTTTGCTTTATTATTTTGCATTTGTGTTCATTTTTTAAATTTATTCATTTTAGATGTAAAAATGAGGCATAGTTAATTATAATAACTATTATACGAGGATATTTTTAATATAATATCTGTGAATATACATTCTACGGAACTCACCAACAATGATCCGTTCAAAATTTCTTTTAAATTTGATATTGATATAATGCAACAATGATTGAGTGTAATTTTTTCAGTTTAATTTTTTAGAAATAATCATTTTGTGTAGTGCATATTTTAAATAAATGTTTTCTTAGTAGGTAAGGTCGGTTTTACCTTTACAAACATTCGCTTATTATATCCGAATGAATGCGGAATCTCGGGCAGTTAATTTCTATTGGATCGAAAAATAATAATTCGATTATATAGATTATGTTTGTCTGTTCGTCAGTCCGTCCGTCTGTCCAGTCTGAAATTGAAAAATCTGTAACAGATAGAGAAAGTGAGGACGGATTCCGATCCAGCAGTCAAAGATATTACGGCAAAAATTGTCAAAATGGAAATACTCTCTTCCGGTTTTGAGAAAATTAATAAAAACGGTTTAACTCACAAAGGATGACAGATAAACGGATGTTGAGGAATTTTAATAAATTCCGACCAGAAATATTAAATTCCGAGCTGTCTTCCATGTTTCAATTTTTTAACAAACACACATGCAAAATGTACGTAGCATGTGACAAAAAGTAGAACAAGCTCTGTTTTTAACGACGTGACGTAGCAAGCTGCATGACGCCACTGTCACTGTCATTTTAAACATTGGTTACATTTTAAGTAACATGCTAGACGCGCGCTACTTGCTACTTGCCATGCCAGTTTGGTGGGCGCTCTCCCTTAGAAACGAAGAAATGGCAAAAATATTTGAGAAAAAAGTAAACGAAAAGAAACGGAAGGTTTTAATGATATAAATAACCTATGGAACAACTATAAGGATCTTCTAGTGGATGCAGCTAAGGAAGTATGTGGAACAAGTAAAAAATACTCAACAAAGAAACAGACACTGTGGTGGTCCGAAGAAATAAAAAAAGCAAGTACAAGTGACGAAAAATCCGTGAAAACAATATCTGAAAGATAAAACAAACGAGAATTACAATAACTATAAAAATGAATGAAAAAAGTTAAAAATATTAGTAACAACAGCAAAGAGAGATAATTGAAAAAAATTCGGTAATAAAATGGAAGAAGATAGAAAAAGTCACCTAAAGCTATTCTCCGAAGACGATAAAAATGGAGAATTAATAATAGAAACAAAAACATAGTTAAAAGATAGAAACAACACCTAGAAGAACCATTAACGGATATAAACCAAGACGATATTAATGAAGAACAAGATAATATATTGGAAGACAACGCAGAAAACTCAATAAACTAGGAAGAACTAGGAGCGATAAAAACGATGATGTACAGAAGAGCACCTGTAGTGGATAGAATAAAAGTAGAAATTATGAAAACATTGGAAAAATGGAGAACAAGTATTACTAAAAATAATGACAAAATATGAAAAAATTAAGACATCCTGGAAGATTGGTAAGTGTCACTAATACTACCTATATATAAAAAAAGAAGATATGAGAGAATGTATTAACTACCGAGGATTGAATTTGCTACGTAAATGTATGAAAAACTCTTAGAAAAAATAATAAACGGACAAGTAAGAATAATGAACGAACATACATTAGACGAAGCACAAAGTGGATTTAGAAGTGATAGGATAATAAAGGATCGTATATTTATTTTAAAAGATAACACAAAAAGCGCTACAAGAGAAAAAGAAATATACTTAGCAGTTCTTGGCCTAGGAATGGACAAATTAATAAGAATGGTACAAAAAATATACAATGAGAAAGACAGTGCCGTAATTAGCAATAATTTAACAATAGATACGTGTACAATAAATGGAGGTTTAAGACAGAGAGGAGCACTTAACCCAACACTGTGTCTAATATTTAAGGAGTAAAAACCTAACTGTAGGGTATATAAGCCTGCAAAGAGTAGAAATCTCGGAAGGAGTATTTGCTGGCGATTTGGTTCTAATTGCAAAAACAAAAAGAACTTTAGAATAATTTGGAAATATGGAAAGAAGTACTCACTGAGAAAGGAGTGAAAATAAATTTTAATGAAACAAAAGTTATGCAGATAGGAGAAACAAGAGAAGCACTTAATATATAAATTCAAGGAACAAAAATAGAACAAGTTAAAACTTTTTACATGTTCGGGAGTAATAATAGAAGAAACAGGATATCTAGAAGCAGAAATCAACAGCAAAGTAGAGAAAACGCTACAACTGTATCATACAATGAACAAAAAATTTATATGCAGAAAAGAAATATCAAGGGATACAAAGATGAAAAGTTTTTAAATCAGTTTATAAACCTGTTCTGACTTTTGGCATCGAATCATGGGTACTAAAGAAACGGCAAAAGAGGTAGATACAAGCTATAGAGATGCAGTTTTAAGAAGAGTAAAGGTGCTACCAAATTGGATAGCATAAGGAACGAACTGAAAATACAATCCACATTGGA